CCTTGCTCCCCACCCCCCCAGCCCAGGCTCTGTGGCTGCCAGCAGCTACCCCAGATCTGGGTAGCTGCTCCAAGCAGGGCAGCGTCCCAGCTGCCTGCTGAGAGCAGCTTGGGATCCCGGCTGGCAGCAGCTCCCCAGAGCCGGGGTCGGCTGCAGCCGGGAGGCTCCAAACAGTTGTGCCAGGCTCCAGCACCAGCTCCACACCTGGGCTGGTTTGTAGCTAGCTTGGGCTCTGGGCAGCGGCAGCAGCGGGCTGGCTACAAACAGCTGCACCGGGCTCATCACCTCTGTCCCAGGAGTGGGGGAGAGACCAAGGCTGCGCTGCCTCAGGCCCTGCCCCCACCAAGGCATGCCTGCTCACGTGGTGCAGACATGGTGCTGGAGCCCAGCACAGCTGTTTGGACCCTCCCGGCTGCAGCCGGCCCCAGCTCTGGGGAGCTGCTGCCATCCGGGATCCCAGGCTGCTCCCAGCAGGCAGCTGGGATGCTGCAAGCCCTGCTCAGAGCAGCCCAGGCTCCATCACTGGCAGCAGCTTCCCAAAGCCGGGGCTCGCTCGGCACGCATGCCACGCTCACTCGGCATGCATGCCAGGGGTTGCCGACCCTGTCTTAGAAGCTGGATTTAAATGGGAATAGCAATAGCAGTGGTATATACTTGGGATCTGCTATATCAGGTTATAATGTAGAGAGACATCTCTGAACTATACATTTTACTGATTTTTAGTATTGAAGTCTATCTATGATTGAAACTTAGTACTTTGTTTTCAGTTGAACAAATTTTAAAAAATAAGCTTAACATAGATGTTTTTGTGTTACTTGCTCTTGCACTGAAAAGTTAATTCATAGCCCTTTCCTGATTGGTAAATGCGTACCATTTTCAGGTGGAGATTAGAGTAAAAGTAAATTTACTTCCGTTTTGAAATAAGCACAACTTTCAGTTGGATCTGCAAAACAAAAAGGCTACTGCTTCCAAGTTTATTAGTCCTCTTTGAATATCACTTCATAATATCTTATTCTTTCTTTTCTGGTTATAATTAACCTTAAATAGCAAACACAGTTCTAACATAGAACCAAAATATATTTCCAAATGACTACCATCTCACTACAGACAACTATTTATTCCCATTTGAAAGGTTACAATGAAGTTGTACTTATTTTTTAAGCTACTTCCAGTCTCATATTCTTTTTTTAAAAAATCTAAAATTTTAGTGGTTAACGTACCCAAGGCACTCACATAACTGCTTATTCAGCACTCAAACTTTTCGTCTGTAGAAATAATAAATTATGAAATCCTTCAATATCCTCAGTACAGACAGCTTAGAAAATTAACTTGTAATAAAACGTCTGGTATTTTCCCATAAAAACATTACTAGTATCCCACGGCAACATGGACCCCACTTAGGTGTGCTGCTTTAATCATCTATCTGCAATCTTTCGTGCTACTTTCATTTCTATCATAACAAGAAAAATCTTGACTATCTCAATACAGTTAAAATTTTTGTTTACTACCACCAGATAATACACTGTGGCAGTCATTTCAGTTCCTACAGCAGAAATGGGAAAGCTTGAATAATCTGAAGCAGCCAAGAGCTAAGATTTTTATTTGTTGAATAGATAAAGAATTAAAGTTGATGTTAAGTATTGTTGCCCTCCTAAAAACTTTACAAACATAAGAGAATTCTACTATTGCAGCCTGCTCATATCACAATATTTTAAAAATCAGAATAAAAAAAATTGGCATACATATGAAAAACATAAGTAATGAGTGTGCTGTGCAGCAAAAGATCTCAAATTGCTTAAATAAGGAGGTAATCAGCACATTAACTCCACTGCATCCCAAGCCCTGGGGAAGTTTCTGTACATTATGCTTAGCTCCAGCAACTGGATGAAAAATGGAGGGGGCTGTGGGCGGGGGGACTACATAAAAAGGGAAAGAGGGAACAGAAGAATGAATAAGTGTAGGCACACAGCTCCAATCAGGAAGGCCCATCGCAGGGGTTTTCAACCTTTTTAAATAAGTGTACCCCCAGCAGCCAGACACAGAGCTGGGGGGGAGAGGGGGAGGAGTGGGGGCAGCAGCCAGACGCAGAGCAGTGACAGCATGGGGTGGTGGCTGCATGCAAGATTCCCCCCACCCCCCCCCATGAGGTCCACAGAGGGGAGCCACAGCTCTCATCCCCCCGGCTCTGCTCCTGAGAGGCGGCAGCGCAGGGTGGTGGGTGCCAGCCCTGTGCCCTTGCCCACATGTATCCCCTAGGGCCTTCCCAAATACCCCTGGGGGTATGCTATCCCTGGTTGACAACCCCTGCCCTATTGTATCTGCATCCCTTGTTATAAAAGGGGTACTCCTGGCAAAGAGCTCTCTGTGAAGGCACCAAGATTCAAACTTGCTCCCCACACCCCACCAGTCTGAAAAAGGGGACCTTCTGGACCTGCTAGAAAAAAAGTCATCTTTCTGCTTGTTCTGTGAGGTTTTGGAGATGTTTGAAGGCATGCTACTTGGATTAGTGACAGGATAAAAAGGGTTATTGTTTGTAGCCATGTTGGTTTAACGACATAGGCATACAAGGTTCTTTGGGTAGAATGTGATATCTTTTATTTACCTTTTATTACCTAAATAGTTGGAAAAATTGCTCTTTGCAAGCTTTTGGGCACAAACACTGTTCTTCAAAAAAAGGAGATTTTGTAGAAAGTCAACCAACTTTTGTAAGAAATCAATTCAAACAGCTATTTGGTTTGATTACTTTAATGCTGCTAGGATTTTACCATACTCTAAGGTTAAAGATCAGGCAGTATCATGACTAGCATCCAGTTTCAGTCTGTAAAGAAAACAGCAGTGAATGGGAATGGTCTGGAATGTGAGAGAAGAGAAAGATAAGAAAAATGTCATTTTTTTTTAAACTGGTTTTTGTTTCTAGACTATATGGGCAGATACATCAAATACAAGCTGAAATTCCCATAACCATGATTTAAATATTTGAAATCTGGAATATCCTTCATAGGAGATTTAAAATTGTTTTAAAATTTTATATTTGGATACCTATGGGAGGACTGTCAAATGTGATTTCCAACAAATGCAGAGAAACTGAAATAGCTACCAATCCTATTTAATGCCTTTCTGTTGATTAGTCACCAAGTTCCAGAATTATCTTCTCAACAGATGATCTAATTTTGTAGAGTAAAGCTTGCAAAGTTTGCTTTGTATATAGAATGGAAAATACAGTTTGCAGAAACTCTTATGGAAATGAAAAATTGTACATTAGACCTTCATGTAAATCAAGATTTGAGATGATCTACAGCCTATGTGAGTAAACAATTATACTGCAATTGAAATCAATCCCAGGAGCAGACTGACTTTATTTAAAAGGAATTTATAAAGATCAAAACCTGTCAAGTGATAAAGTAATAGTTTTTGTAAAAAAAAAAATTATTTTCCTTTCAGCATAGGAAGGAATGTCACTCAAGGAAAGTTTAATGACAATGTTTCAGTTAATCAAGGAAATTGACAAGTTAATGGCAAGACATTTTTTTACAGATTTCCCACCCTTAATCCTTTTTAGACTCAATTTCATAACACAAAAAAGCAACTATAAAAACTAAAGGAATCTGGGCCTGTTTAGGCTATCCCAAAACACACATAGTAACTAAGATACCAAATCAATTATTTAATAAGATGTAAAGCAAAGTGGATGAAATGGAACTGATACACAGAAATATTTGAACAGACTCAATGATGTGTAATGAAGCTCAAAAAAGTAGCGTACTGAAGCAAAGTATACATTTTCAAGGATTCCCAAAATATACAGGAAGCTTAAACCATGGAACCAATATCGCAATAACAGACCATATTGGAGTAACAAATGGTTACCCTCAAAATGCAGCTTACTTTCACTTTTCATAAACAAATCTTTATAAAATGCGGCTACATAAACGTTACACGTTTCAGGTCTCTTACTCAGCCTTTTGTTTCTGGGGTGATTGCTTATGACATGGACACATACCAGATGTAAACATATATTTATTTAAGAAATAGAAGCAAAAAAAAAAAGTCATGAAAATGCTAGTTATACTTTTTATGGAGAAATACTAATACTAATCAGGAACAGTATCGTACCTTTTCCAAACGGAAGATGATTTCAAATTTAAGATGACCCCCAATTAAATTTTATAAATGGAAAATTATATAATTAGTTATAATTTTCCATGTATAGAATCTAATTAGTGAAAGGTAGTCTTAAATTCATACTCCACTGCTGTGGCAGGGAAAGCAGCAACAGAGGACTTGCTGTTTGCCCTCCCCTTACCCTTGCTCCTTGCTCTCCCCACATGCCTGTGTCTGCCCCCTTGCCACTTGTCCCCTGTGCCTTACTCCCCTGCCATGTGCAACCCTGCCACTGGCTCCCCCACTTTCCCATGTGTGTTTCCTACCACACGTGCCTGTGCCAGACATCTGTCACCTCCCTCCCTGCCACCTGCCTCCCATACCTTACCCCCTGTGCCTGTGCCTGGCCCCTGCTGCCCATTTCCACCCCCTGTGCCCTCCTCCTTCCACCTTCTGCTTTGCTCTGGTTCTAAGACAATCAGCAGTGGAAGTAGCCCTGGCTTGGCCCTGCCCTACCAAGACATAGAGAAGCAGTGGTGGTAGCTCTGGACCAAGAGCAGAAAATAAACAAGAGTGGGATAGCAAGGGGGAAGTTGCACAGTCTCATCTGCACCACCTGCCCCCACACGTGCCCCTCCCCAACTTTATGAGTGGGCAGGCAGCGGCTCAGCTCCAGCTTCAGCTCTAAGCCTTAGGCTGAAGCCAGAGCTGAGCTGCCACCTGCCTTGGGCTGGTATTTGAATAGCACTAAATATGGTATTAGGTTTATTCCCTATAAGCTCATGTGCAGTCACAAAACATATCTACAAACTGGTTTATAAGGCACTGTCATTTTCTTTAATCCAGTGATTCTCAACCAGAGAGTGGCTCCCAGAGGTGCCCTGGGATTCTTCCAAGGGTGCTGTGGGATGCCAAGTAATATTAGCACTGTTAGATGTGCAAGCATGATTCACATGATAAGTTTAAAGATTTGAAATAGGATCCATGGCTTAGAAACTTTCTGACTTGCTGCAGTCTCTCTTAGTTCTTTGCAACAGAAGAATAGTTCTATTATTTTTTCTATTCTATTACTTTTTCTGTATCAAAAACAAAAACTAAAAAGCTGGCATTTTTGAGGAGTGCCTCAAATCTGAAAATGTTGAGAACACTGCTTCAATCCATTTTTTCCAAGTTGACCTCCACTATTTATTTTTTCTCACAAATTATCTGTCTCCTACATGGGTAAGCTGAAGTGCTACCAAAAATAAAGATCCTAATATTATGTTCTGTCTGACTAACGCCAATATTTCAGCACTGATTCTAAAGAAATGACTTCTCTCACTTCCAGTGCATGTATTTATGATGTTCAAATATTAAATCTATTTGACACTGACAGACAGCTTTGATTAAACACAAAAGCACAGTTCAAGAAGGTGCACAATATAAAAAGCTAAATATTTCTTTTGAACCCTTTTATTGCTTGACTAAAAAATTCAACTAGGCAATCAAATGCAAAGGTTTCAGCAGCTTCCTGAAGAAAACACATAAGAAATTTATGAAGAATCATTCTAAATATATAATGCATTATGGTCATCAAGGTGAATGATCCTCCCTTGTCCACTGGCATACAGGCTTGAAAGTTAACATTCAGAGGTGAAGACATTAAGCTTTATTTCAGCTTTATGCAGACTAGAGAGCTAATCTTAGTATTTTTGTTCTACAAATTTAGCATCAGTAAATAGAAGCCTGATTCTTTTGCAGTGCAAAGGTGATTCTATGATAGTGCCAGCATCAAATTTCTACACTGCTGGTTCAAGAACTGCTGTTGTGACCAACCCATATGAAAGCATGAAGCTGTGTAGGAAAGGCAGAGCTCCTATAAATTCCAGGGTGATGACAAAATGGCTTTGGAAATACAGAATATTTCTGTGCAATGTTGCAAAGTCATGTGGCACCATGCTCCTTCAGTGGAACAATTACATATCCACTGCAGGAAGCAGCAAGGAAAACAGCGTTTTATAACTGTGGGACTTTGACAAGAATATCCTGATTCTGTACTTCTGATGAGCTAATGATCAATTATTACATAAAACTGATTATTATTATTGCTTGTATCTACTTGAACTATATGTCTAACCAACTTCAGGGGAAAACTTCTCTCCTATCATAATACCGCAAATATTTTTAGTCATTTGCTTTTTTTGCTCTTGGAGACAAAATCCCAGTCTGATTTACTATATCTAGCAGTGTTGGAACAAGAACTGTGCTCCAGGTTAGCGACTTGTATTAGAAACCTTAGAAATAATAAAAGAGAGCTGTTAACTACCTTAAACAGATTTCACCCGTCTCTGTGATGTTCGGATGCCAGATTCTAGTCAAACATTTTACCTTTGGAGGCTGCCAGAATAAAAGACAAACAGATTACAATGCTGCCCTTTAAAATAAATCAAAATCACCAAGCTACATTAATTATTTAACAATTGGAAGCTCCATATATATATGGAGACCTCCATCCAAGTACTAATGATAAACTTGCAATTCTGCAAACTGTTAAGTATCCCAAGAGGTATGCTATCTAGAGTAGAAAAACTATTATCCCCCTTTTGTCTTCATCAGCCGCTTGCAAAGCCAGATTAGTACTAAGGTTTTTTGGGGGTTTTTTGTTTTGTTTTCATTTGGTCTAAAAAGGCATTCAGGTAAGCAGGCACAGTTTTAAAGGCTGAAACACTACTTTAATTTCCCTTTGAAAAAAAACAAAAATGAAAACACAACCCAATGCTATTTCATTACTTGGCATTATGGCAATCTGACAAGAAAAAGTAACAATTAAAACTGCAGATGTTACTCCTTTCATTTGCAGCAAATGAACAAATGGAGGAAGAAAACGTTTTCTTTTCAGTGTGGTTTCAACTTCACAGTAATTTTCTGGGAAAAACAAAGGCTCTTCTATAGTGAAATGTTGACAGAACAACACTTGTGCAGTTACGTTTTATTCAAGTTATTTAATAAGGAAGCTGCACTATTTTACAGTGATACTACTACCTCCAATTGATGCTGCAGCTCTTGTTAATACATGCTGGCAAATAAACACTTATAAATATGCCTTATTTGCTCCTTATTTGGCAAAATAAGTAAAGGAAAAATGACTTTAGTCTGGTGGTGGGGCACTCCCCTAGGTGTTCTGGTCCCTAGATTCAGGTCCTTGTTCCCCGTACTGTATATATAGTGTATCCTATGACAAAGTGCAATTTAGGTGTTCAGGTAGATTTTGGGGGGCACTTTTCCAATGTCTTAGAATCATAGGTAAGTAGGGCTGGAAGGCACTTAAGGAGGTCATCTAGTCCAGCCCCCTGCTCAAAGCAGGATCATCCCTGACTAAACCATTTCATTCAAATGTCTATCTAACCTGCTCCTGAAAATTTCCAAGGATGGAGATTCCACAATTTCTGCAGGTAGCCTGTTCCAATGTTTAACCACCCTCTTAGAAAGTTTTTCCTAACCTCCAACCTAAAGTTCTTCTGCTGCAGTATGAGGCTGTTGCTCCTAGTTCTGTCCCCTGTGGCCACAGAGAAAAGCCTGTCTCCATACACTTTATAACCACCCTTCAGGTATTTGTAGATTGTTATCAACACCTGCCCCTAAATTTTCTCACGTTGGCTTGCACTTACAAGTGATCTGACGTTGGCTTACAAATAGTGCAAGAATGCATTTAACAAAAACAAACAAGCATTCATCACAGTTGTCTAAGTTTTATAAAATTTAACTTTCCACAATAGTCACCATTTTGGGGGGGGAGGAAATATTCTGCAGCATTTCTTTAAAAGTGCATCATATTTATCCAAAACAACTCTAAATTTGGGATGACTCTCCCCTCCCCCACAATAATTAGATTCCAGACATACAAAATTTGTAAGCTTGTTACACATTTTCCACATCCAGAATCTAATTTGGATGCATCATCTTAAATTCATCCCTCCACCACCTTTTTCCTACAAAATATGCAGAGAATGTCAGCTATAGGTGCTTGGACTCAAGCAGTCTCCTGCCTGAAGTGATGACTAGGAAAGCCACCTCCAGAGTGGAAGGGAGAGGAGGGCTGAAGAAGTGATGCACGTAAATGTCATCTTGGGCAATGAGGTCTAGCACCTGTGTGTGTTGGCAGTGACTGGACCTGAAGACCAGTGGAATGAGCAAGGTGGTTACTTGACACTGGAAGGCTCTAGATGCAATTACTCCCCGCATTCTTGTCAAACCTGTCACCTGAACGAGGGTGCCTGGCATACAATAGATAAGGAAGAAAAAGAGAAGATTGCCTTGGAGTTGCTCTTTTCAATCACTGAATAAAGCAGTTGTCACCCCTGAGAGTTAGAGTAATGGTTTTGGCTTCTGGGGCTGAGAGAGTCCTCATGATGGGATACTAGTTTCAAGACCTAGGAATCTTCAAGGCGTTAAATGGATGGAACGTTTCTGTCAGTGTGGTTGCTGAAAAACTCCATGCGTTTGAATTCAGTGGAATTCAAAAGACCAAAAACTTTTAACTGAAGCATTCCAGAGTTTATTGCATTGATATTGGTCATGGTGGCTCAAATTTTCATGTACCCATTTCAAAGACTGTCCATTTGAAAAAGCACATGATTTTCAGGTAAAAAAAATTCTCTCCATACTAAGATTTTTCAAAACTGGCAAGGATCCTATTGCCTGTGTCATGAGAGACAACCACAGGTGGTAAATCTTGTCCTCTTCTTATGACAGAAAATCCCACGACACAAGGACAAGTCTACATACAACTCCCATGAACTATTGCAGAAAGTCTGTACAACTACTGTCTTTCCCATGAAGAAGCCCTAAGATCAGCCTCATTCTGTCTTGTCTTCTTTTATCTTCTGCATTATAAGAAAAGGAAAGAAGGTGTATAGCAGATCATTTTACCCCAGTTCAGAAGGATTTCTCTTTGGTGAAGAGTAGTGTTTATTCTGCAAGAAAGACTAAACACACCTGATGCTTGCAACTGTGTTTATACTTTGTTCTGGTTTACCATTTGGTTCTGCTTTGGGTCTTATGGGCATAAGTGCTTGATTCACTAGCACCAATTCAGTTAAGGTTGTTTGTACTGAGGTAGCCAATGCCAAAATTATTGCCATTGTTCTTACGACCCCTTTGAATGACTTTCTCATTCCACTTAGCCTCATCCACATAACTGATGAACAATCTCAGGACTTGAAGCCTGTATATCTTAACAGTGAGAAGTCTGCCATGTGGGAAGAGTATGGGTATAAGGACATTGTGGAGCGGTGGGGAAATGTTACAGAAGGTAGTTTAGCATAGATTTGTTTAGGAAGCAAATTGTAATCAATACAGAGAAAAGAAAAAAAAAGAAAAGAATTGATGCCATGAGTCCTAATGGTAAAAAGCAAAAACCACACACACTAAACACACGCGCACACACACACACACACACACACACACACACACAAAAAAGCTTTTGAATCTCTGAAAAAAGTAGTAGATCCAATACTTTTTACTGACAGTGGCAGCAAGGTGGAACTAACAAGGAACAAAAGGTAAGTTGCAACTACTTCCTTTTGTCCTTGCGTGGGTGTACGGGAAAGAAAAGGGTACACACATGACCCTGACTAGCACATATTCATGAGACATTCATCTCTCATACATGAGGTTTATGCACACCTACAGTGGTATCTACATTGACATTTTAGCAGCAATTAATACCCACATCAGGCATTAATAACAGAATTTAAGAATAGCTGCATTTCTACAAGAAAGTTTTCAGTTTTCCTGTTACACATCATGTATTAGATAGACCTAAAGGAAACTAATTAATTTTTTTACAGAAAAAAACTAGTTTAGCCTTATTGAACTATCCTATTCTTCCTGAAGAAAGAAAAAGTTGCACCTCTGCTATTTTTTTTAATGGATAGAATTATGTCGACAATACTGCAAATTAGGAATAGGCAAAGAGACTGGTGATAATGCTAGACCTCCCATCCCCCCCCCCCAACTCCCCAAAAAACCATAAGCCACTTTCAGGCTCTATTTACACTACCAAAAAAAAACTTCATGCATTATAAACATAGCACAAAAATCTCAGTAAAATGAATGTTATTTCTGTGAAAAAAGGAAAAAAAGAAAGGAGAGAAGAAAAAAAATAGAATAATAGTTGAATCATGTTGTGGTACAATTGTATGGTAACTAACTGGGATTTTCTTCTGTGCATCTTGATTATGTTAGAGAACAATGTTTTATCCAGAAATTAAATACATTAATTAATCAAAAGATGGTTCAAAAGACAAAAAAAAGCATTACTAAAATAGTACTAGATCACTCTGGAAGGAAACCACTGCATTCAGAACAAAACTAAGTGTAGATTATGTCCCACTTGCTAGCTTTCAGGGAGGAGCACAATTCATGCTGTTAACTACATTCTTTTGACTAGCTTGCAGTTGCCACATCTTCCTTAGTGACCCAATTTGCTTTGTGTTCCAGTTAATGCAATTTTCATAGGTTTTTCTTTCCCTGCATCTCCACCAACAAGATACCAGGTCATTTTTAGTAACCATAAATATTCACAAACTCCAAATGAATGATCAGGAAGCTCCAGATGCATTTCTGATAAGAATAATGTTCTACACAATTAAATGACTGGCAGGGGGAAACCCTAAGTTCTAGTGATGGTAGTGGTATATGATAAATGCTCCCAAGATTCCAGTTAAAGAGATGCATGCATAAAATTATCTCAATTCTTATTAATCGTTTCCTTCTTATTAGCCCTGCTGCATTTTTAAGTGTCTTCAGTTCTGGCAAGTGAGTCTCCTAGTGGAGCTACTGAGAGCACCCATATGTGGTCAGGTAAGCAACAGTTAATATATTTCACATCTTTTAAAGATTCTTTCATTATTATTTTATATCCTTTAAAGATACAAAATAAAAAAGGAAGAACCTTTGGAGAAAATGTGCAATATATTAAAGACAATAGGACTTACCTGACCCTCTATGGGCCAGCTCCATGCTTCAACAGGGATCCAGAGTGGCTATGACAGCACAGCATGGTGCATGGTGGGGCATCTTATCAGAATGGGAGCTGCCTGGCTGGAGGGGGAATGGATGTCACAAGATCTGAAAGAAAAATAAAGTATCCTTTTATCCATGTGCTCAACAACCTGATCTTTCCAGCTTGGTGAAATCAGCAGACAACCCATACTGGTAAAGTGCCTGGAGTTGGATATTGAACTTCATGGACAAATTTATTACAGTGAAAAAAACCTGTAGTATTTTTTAAATCAACCCATGAAACAGATTAGATTTAGTATATTCTTCTAAGAACTTCAAACAACATCAGAGAACTGATGGTTAAAATCACTGAAAACATGTGTGCATGAGTG